TTGTAGATTGCAGTTGGTGCATGTAATGATGTTGGTTGTTTATATTTGGTTTGTTTATAAATTTGGTGGTTTTTGTTTGGGGGCGGTTGTTGCAGGTTTTGTTGAGTACTCATTAAAATATAATTGAGTCCCAACCTGGATTTGGGATTGGTGGAAGATTAATAAATGTATCTGGGAGATATTTGAAAATGTAATTTTTTTTAAGGGTTTGAGTTGTTTGGTGGATTTTTTTGTCATCTATGATGGGTATTGTAATTTTTATATTGTATTTTGTCAAGTTCTTGTGTTGTTGTTGTTAGATCAGGTAGTTGTTTTCTTTCTATGTTTGATATTTCTAAAGCAGGTGTATCAATATTATCATTTGTTTTTTCTATTGATATCCACTCATCAGGAATTCTTTCGAAGAAATATTTTTTACCTAGTTTTATTACTATATTTCTTATATTAGTTTTGTTTGTAATATGCAGAATTATTTCTTCATCTACAATGAATTGTGCATCCAGTTCATTGATGTTTTTAGGAAGAAAAGGTTTATTTTTGTTTTTGGAACATTTATCCATTTTTTATTAATAGGGAATATGATCTCATATTTTCTTCTTGCTTCTTTAATGAATTCATTGGCAGTATTTTGTTCAGTGATTGGGAATATATAATTGAAAATTGTGTTATCAGGTGAGTTAGGTAGTCTTGGTTTAGGAGTAAAATAATTGTTTGGTAATTTTTTGAATATATAATATTCCCTTAATTCTTGTACTATCTCACGAAGAGTTTTTTCTGTTCTATTTGAGTTGAAAGGTAAATATTGTGCTAAGTAATTTGGTAGACCTTTTGGAGAAAAAGGTAGAAGTTCTCTTGGTTTTGGAAAATTAAAATATGTGTCTGGTAATTTGCCTGAGAAAAAATATTCTACCCTTAATTTTTCTCTTACATTCCTTAATTCCTTTAACATGGAATATTTTTTGATTGGGAAAATCCTTTTCCATTCTACTGATAATTCTCCAGGATCATTTGGCAGTATTGGTAATACCTTTATGTATGAATCAGGAAGTTTGTTGGTTTTGATGTTGAAATAGTTGCTTAAAGCTCTTTTTGTTTGGTTTGCTAAATGGTGGTATATTAGTGGTAGTTCGTATGGAATTTTGACTTTGATTGATTTATCTATTAAGTTTGGATGTGATGGTAGATCTGGTAATTCTTCTTTCAGGATTTCTCTTAGGGTAAGATTTATTTTGTTGTATTCAAAATTTTGTTTTTTACCTACAAAGCCAGCAATATATTGTAGTTTTCTGATGATATCTGAATGGTTGATGTTTTTCCATTCAATTTGATTGAAATAAGCCCAACCTAATTTGATTTTGATCATTTTAAAAACATTATCTTTTTCTTTCTTAGTTAGTTTGGTTCGTTCATGGGTATTTTTGTAGACATTTGTTGAGTTGAAAAAGATTTTTTCGAATTCTTTTTGGTGTTCAGGTTTAATTCCATTTTTGTAATTTGTGAATGATTTGAAAAAATATGTATCATTACATTCTAACATGTATAGTGTAGCAGGGGGGATCTGACCTTTTGTTACTTTAGATTCTACTTTTATATTTTTCCTACCTATTCTTATTAGTTCAATAAAACCTTCTCCATTTCCAATTAATTTGTTGAAAAGATCCAGTTGAATTATTACTAAATTTTGATCTGTTTCTTCTTGATTTGTGTCCATGCTAGAGGTATTGTCTTCAATTGTTTCATTATCTGACATTAAATCATCAGTAATTTTTGATGATATTGTATTATCTATGTTAGTATCTTCAGAATTTTTGTTTGTATCTGTTTGATTTTCTTGATTATCTTGATAGATCTTGGATATTAATTGATTGTTAGAGTTTTTGGAAATGTTGGATAATTGGTTTTTTGAGTTAGGGTTGGATGTACCCCAGAATGGGTCTTCTCCTGTCCTCCCTTTGTGGGTTGTAAGATTCATTCTTGTTTCGTCTTCGCTTGAATTTATTTTTTCTTCGTGAGTTTCCTTTTCATTGAAATGTTTGAGTCTTTTATTTTTTGATTTATTATTGTGAATGGACTTTTGTAACATGTTGTTATAGTTTGTGTTTTTTCCTTTCTTCCTTTTGTTAATGTTAATTGTTTGGTTTGGTTCTGTAGTAATTTCGATTTCGGTGGCCTTCGGGCCAGATTCTTCCTTATTTTTTTTTTTATTTTCTTCCAATTTTTAATTTTCCTTACTGCGCCACGGGGTAAATTTTATTTTTGAAAGAAAAAAATTTTTATATAATAGATTCCCAATTATTACTTTTAATTGTTCAAAATCATGTCAGAATTCACAATTTTGAAGGATAACCTTGATGGCATTTGTATTTACAAATATTTCAGGTTGTTCTTCAACCACCTTTAATTATGAGTGTTAGATCATTTTATAATTTATAAAAAAATAAAAGATAAATTTAAAATACTTGCAAATTTAATATTTGTTTCAAGGTGTGAAATTGATTCACAAACATCCCAAGATGTGCTCCAATGAGTCTTCACTGATGATTTTAAATTCCCACCAAATACTAATGAATTGATTATTTCTTCATGTAATGCAGCTCCAGCACAATGTGATTTATGAAAAAAGGAAACAATCTTTTGACATTTTTTTAAAGTTTTTTTAGCCCAATCTAATGATGTAATATCTTTTGTAACAAGATTTATATGATGAGCAATACATCTTACTGGCAAAATATGTTTATAATTAGATACAATCCTTCTTTTTGCTGCCATCAGCATCAGAAACAATTGCAGCAATTTTTTCTTTTCCAATATTATCAATTATTCTTAACAATTGTTCTTCGTTGAATTGAGCTGTATGCCTGTCACTTGAAAAATCATTAATTGAGTATATAAATTGGCAACGAGCTGGAGTAATAATTACAAAAGCATATATACTTTGACCAAGAGGACTTGTCCAAGAATCAATACCTTTCAAGAATGATCAAATAATTTTTATTATTACATAAATAATTAATAATTAAAATTTACATTAATAAACTTTACTAAAAATAATTTACATTAATTAATGATTAAATTTACATTAATGAATTTTACTTAAAATAATTACATTAATTACCTAAAGTTAAATTTTTGGAATCCCGCACCTCTTTTTCTATCTTTAAGGTTATGTTGGCAATCTCAGAATTTAACAGATGATTAGACAAGGTGGTATGTTTTGGAGGTTCATAGCCATTGCATAAAGTTTTTGTAAAATCACAGAAGAAAAGTGAATCTGCAACACTAAAAGGGATCCCACAACATACAAAAAAACAAACCATTGCCTGATTTGCTCTTGAAATTTTTGGTGCATCTATTCTATCACTGTCAAAATAAGAATGAAGATCCATATTATTTCCAATATTTCCACTTTGCCTTTTATTTGTAGAGTCTGTATTATCATCTGATTTAATTGATCTTAAATATTTTAATTTTACTTCTTTACTAGCCAATGGGCATTTCAGAGCCAAATACCCTTTCAATTCAGAAGGTTTACCACATTTCCATGACTTAAAGCAAAATTTACATTGTGCTGACAGGTGAGAGTCATGTGGAATTTCTATTGCATTAAAATAATTCCATACTGGATCTCTAGATTTACCTCCTTGTCTGGAGTTTCCAGTACTTGTATTAATTTCATAATTGATAAATTGTCTGTTTCATCAGCCTATTTATCAAACATAATTTAATAATAAATTTTTTATAAAAACAAACAATTATTTTTTAAAAATAAATTCACCATTGTAAAGAATTTGTGAATTCAAAAATAAATTAACATTTTTCTACAAACAAATATATCTTTTATTATTTTTTTTAAAAATAATATTAATATCATATTTATAATACAGATAATCTCATCTGAATATTACTAAACATAATTAGCAAAAATACTTAATATAATAAAATTAATTTGTTCACCATCAATGTTTAGTTATTTTCTTTATTTGTACATTGTACTTGTTATGAAAATGTAAATTGTAGAATATAAAAATTTAATTGTATGATAAAAATATGATTGGTTAATGTGAGATGGGATATGGGATATGGGATATGGGATATGGGATATGGGATATGGGATATGGGATATGGGATATGGGATATGGGACGGGATATGGGATATGGGGTATGGGGTGGGATATGGGATGGGGATTGGGTGGGATTTTTACTAACCTCAAAGCCCCACCCACCCATACCTAATGGGATTGGGGATTGCCCCATATCCCATAGTATGGGCGGCAAGTATAATCATGAATAATGAAATTATTATTACAAAAATTTATTGGATAATACATTACTAAAAATAGTAAAGATTATCTCTCATGATTTATGAAAATCATGTGAACTGACTTGGCTGGAGGAGTTGTCCAACTTACAGCTTAACAAGAGTTTATATGTGTGTCCAACTTATCAAGAAATTTTTAAATATAAAAAAAAAGGGCTGAAAATTTTTGTCCGAGTTAGGCCAAATCCAACTTATTGAGTTTACCTATCAGTCAGATGACATTTCACACGATCAACATGTCTACTGTAATAACTATGTAGAAATTTTGTGCAACATGTCAATTTTTACTATTAAAATCAAAGGAACTTTTTCATTTGTCACCTAGCACACCCACATGAAGTTTTAACCAGAAACGTGATATTTTGTACACGCATTC